GTGCAAGACTGTTAAATCAATTTCTATTTACTTACAACGAATAATAACAATAAATATCAGTTCTCGCCTCGTTAAAAAGCTGGCTCTTTTCGTAATCTTTTCAGCATTTACACAAGTAGGACATGAAAACAAAAACACAGTCATACAACCAAGATGGAAATGCTTGATAGTAGTCCGATAGCAAACGGTCCAAAATAATCTTTGGTAAACGTTTCCAAAGGGACAAGGGCTATGTGAAGCGTTAACTGTTACGCGTTTAATTTGAGACTTTGAGACTGCAAAAGTCGTCACTCAATTTATACAGTAGATAAATTGACGAGAAGTTTTACGTCGGTTGGACAGATCCATGTTGATTGCAGAGCGGCTTGAGTTAATCATTAAACCATGATTTGAAACATAACAGAGTATTCGATGTAAAGAAGTAGTTAATTCAACATTGAATAAAGTTTTGGGGAAAAACCCGCCAACTAGACGGATGGCTATAACACTGATCAATATCTAATTCACAATATATATAGGTGCAAAGATCACAGATAGGTATCACTATTTCAATACATATACGAGGAATGTAAGAAAACAATTCGTCAGTCTTTTTAAATGAAAAATTTGTGTTATCGAATAAGACGATGAGCTGAGTTTCGAACGGGTGGTTCGAGTTTGGGATCCTTGCCACGTTCATGTTAGTTTTTTAATCAGCTGCATCCCAATCAAAGAGAGGTACAAGAGCAGTTAATACCCATAAGTAATATTCTTTTTCTTTGTTCCAAAAAAATTTAATTACAGAATAAATAATTATTTGCTTTTTCCATTTTCAAGTAGTTTTTATTCGCATTTGGAGCATTTCCATAAGACACAACAGTTACACTTTATTTTATTTAGTCATTTTTTCTATAGAGAGTCATAGTTTCGCAATGAGTGATGGACAATGGACATGACAATATTTTTTGAAAAAATATCATCAAAAATGTATGTTTTTCAAACAGATTTTTATCGTTGCACATTCTGTAAATATATCTTCATGTGAGCCGATCTGAAAGCGAATTTTCCCACAATAAGCCGCGTTAAATCGTTCGAAATTCCAAGCGAATCATTCGTCGATCATCCCCATGTCTTTGATAATTCGACTGTTTTCGAAAAATGCATGTCGTGGAATTTCAAGCAGCAAGCAAGTTCAAAACTCTTGCTCAGTTCACATGCATCCGCAGCGATTAAAAAGTGAATTAAAGAAATCGAATCAAGCTAAGCAATGTGCTTCGACCATCTTGAGCATTTGACATGTTGTGCTGTACATGATTTCAAGCCGTCATTTCAAATGCCAATTAAATTGAGAGTCAGCATTTTTCTTCTCTTCGATTTAAAATCGCACACATCAGCAATACATAAAATTAACCAAACTACAAAAAGGTTTCGCACTGTTCACAAGTTGCATTGCATGGAAAATTACACACCGACTTGATTGAGAGGCCATACACCGTGCATTGTACATAATAATAACAACGTATGAACGCATAATCCGACTGGCAGCCGAATTTAATGTGTGTGTACTGTGTATCTGTGTGTATGAGTGTTTGTGCTCCTTAAGATAATTCATTTTATCGTGTAATTTCTTTGCATCGCATCGTATCGGCTATCGTATCTCTCAGCTCGTATCTCTCAGCTCGGCCTTCGTTTGTGCAAAGGTAAAAATCTGTAGCCATGTCAATAATTGAACGTTTGCTACAGAAGAAGTTACATCGCACTACCATTCAGTGAACAAAAAATATCAACGATTCTGTTATTATCATTATTATCGTCAGTTCCTCCTGGCCAATCGACTTGCTTGAAAAGTGACTCGACAGAGAATGAACGAACATGTCTATAATTCGCTCGACGAATGAACACATTGCACATTGGACAACACGAGTGTAATTCCATTTTCACCTTCGATCGAATGAAATGCTTGAGACAGACAGACTTTCAATTGTTTGTACAGATTTATGTTCAGAATGGAAGGCAACAGGATTTTACAAACCAATTCACAAGATTTAATTGAAGCCTTCCGAATGTCAATCACTTTTGCACAGGCGGCTCTACATCAATCTGAATGGATGAAAATTGCAAGAATAACAAATGATTGCAATTCGATTTTTATTCCATGCAGATCTAAATTTTTCTCAGATTTTCAAACCAAGAATTTAGGATTTACATCATTGCGGTTAAAAAACTATCACTACATAGCAATTCCGTTTGTTCGAATGGCGTGATTTTCTGTGTATGGATTCACTCCTACGTTTACAACAAATAAATTGAAACACATGGAAGAAACAGCTGACTTGGTTTTGGGTGTTTTGCATTTATTCATTCATTCGTTCATTCAGTCAAAAAAACAAAGTTCATTGACACACATTCATCACACAGATTACAAGTATGGTAACTGATTGTCGCATACGATGCTGGGACAATAGGCAATATGCCATACACTAACACCATCTGTGAATGCGTAGGCCAACTGAGGAACGCTTATTGAAAAATGGTTTGTGGTCGAAATAATGGAAATGTATTGAAAAGTACGTAACACATTATGAGCATCAGACATTTTTTATTAGGTACGTACGAAATATTGTCTCTTCACATCGATGTGGTGCGAGAAAGAACTAATATTTAACCTTTGCAGTCTTTACGATGAATTATCGAGAAAAGAAAGAAACCAATAAATTATTCACAAGCTGAGCTGCTGATTAGTTTAGACCAATAAGTTAATCGGCGCTGTTTGTACGCCCATTAATACAAAATTGTATTGAATATTCAGCGTAACTTTCGTACAATTTCGACTTAACCTAAGCCTGCTGTATTTATAAGATTGAAAAATTTGTATATAATTGTGAAAAGCACACATGACCGATGCCTTATTGGACATTAAAAGGTTGATAAATATAATGAAGAATTCGGTCAAAAAGAAAGCAGTGATTTTGTGTTTATTAATATAAATTTTCCTTTTTATATGCACGGTTTGTTTGTAAAATGGGAATAGATAGAAGACTCATTTGTATGTGAATAATAAGATATAAATCTAAACTACTGGGTCAGATTATACCTCATATGAACAGATGTTTTGTGAAAATATGATATTATGACAAAATTTTGTTCGTACGTTTTAGTACGTGTGCTACATGCATACATCGAATTGAAAGTGAGAGTAAAAACCAAAACGCCATTAAACTGATGATTAGTTGTATTCCCACCGTAGCAGTAACATTTGACATGATCCAGAGTAGCGTAAATAGGGTACGAGGCGTATGATGCATGCGTGCTCCAGCAGCAACGATAACGAAGACCAACAAAATCGACAGCGGTATCGCGAAAAATGAATATTTTTAACCTTAATTTTTATTAATTAGGCACGTTAGCAATTATTGTTCCCCATTGACAGTGTATTGTGTATTGTGATAATTTGGCATGGTTCATGCAGTATTTTGGAAAATGTTTTTGCCACGTATGATTTGATGCCGAGATGGTTGGTTATAATATATATATGTATACTATATTTGGATTTGCTCGATTTCATAAGCATATCATCACCTAGTGATAAAAATAAATGGGTGTTGTTGATACGTGCATTGAAAGTGGCGTACCTGTGAACATGAAAAAATACTCTTTGAGCTCGCTTTGAAAACTTACCGAAAAGTGTTAGCTCACCGCTCACACATTGCAATATTAATGGGTTGCTTTTGTATGATCAACTCTTTCACATCGCATCCACCAACACCACCACCACCACTGCACATACGTGATGCTCTTTCGCTCACTCATTAAAATCACCCCCATTTATATGTTTACGTTGTCGCAAGATGACGAATATGTATGATTGTGGCATTTTTACATATCGAGGGAGTGCGGGAAGTGGTAGTAACAGCAACAAACAGCAGCAAACGCAGCAGAAGAAGATATGTATGTGTTTTTAGAATTTCATGAAATGATCCATTCAAAATTATTACGATTATTATTATTGTTGTTCACATACATACGTGTAGTAAATTCACACGTTTGAAATTGGTGCGGAGCTAAAACCAAAGCGCTGTTAATGTGACTTTGGTGAATTACCAGAATTAATTCGCGTCGTTCAACGCATCAGCCAGAATTTGGAAATGCGAGCTGCGATAATAAAAGTAATAATGCAATATTTATTAATGAACGCAACGCAGCGCAGGCTAAAATTTCAGTGCCACCACCTCTGAATTTTGCTGTGCGGTTAACTCAGTTGCCATCGAAAAACTTTAGTCATTATGCACAAAAATTCGGATAAATGACTTTTGGTTTGCTATAGAGAAAAGATATACCACCTCAACTAACAACGATGGCTAAACAGCAAATATAATAAATGTAAAAATTCAAATATTCCCCTTGGGAGGAAAGGAAGGCAGGCAAAAGATGGAAATATTTCGATTTCCAAAGAGAATAACCTTAAAATATATGCTCCAAAATCAGCCATAATTTTTAATACAACGCACACTTTTAAAACGACCTGCTTGCGGACGGAGGACGGAATCATAAATTTTCAATCGCCTATCGTAGTACATACACTCACATCATGATCGATACGTAAAATACGACTTGTTGATTTACATATATATCAACACATTGAACGAGAATTTTGGAATGGAACAAGAAGAAGCGATTTCCAGTCTGTCGAGTCGACTACGTGCCAGTTGACACACATTGATCGTTCGTGAGTCTCTGTGTGTGTGTTTTCTGGTATTTGCGAAGAAAATGTAGAAAACAAATGAAGATAAAACATACACGCATGCTACAAGACTTGAATATTCTTTGTACTCAAACCACACAGACACTGACTTTCAACAAAAAAACACATCAGTTGTTTGTTCAATGTGAAAACGGAATACATTCTCAAAGTTTGATATTTTTCTTATACATTTCATTTGTTTGATCGTGGCTGTTGCTGCTAGGCTCAACACACACAGACATTGTCGTTGCTCAAATGATAACTACGCGTTCGTACACACACACTCTCGCACACGAGTGTGCTCACAAACTGAACCTTCAGTCCATTTACTAACGTTCAAAACATTCTTTTAAATTTTGCTGATTTTATTTTCTATTCGATTTTTTTATTGCGCGGTACCCATACCATATTTAGTATAAAACACTAATACACCAGCCGTGAAACACGTCCAACAGCCGAAATCGAATAATTTTATTCTGTCCCGAACCACTGCAGACGAAAGATCCATTTTAAAATTACGTTTACGTGGACAGTCGAAAGAAAAGTGATCAGTTTTGTTGGAATTTTTTCGTTTCAAAATAAAAGCATTTAAATTGAAGAAAATTGAAAGATTTCAGTTAAAAACATGCATTCGATCAGAAAAATTTACGCCAATCCGAATCTTATAAGAAATTTTGGTGCGGTAAGAGGTGTTTGTGCTATGAACAATGCTGCCACCACTGCTGTCGATGGGAAGAAAGCATTGTGGTCCACAAATAAGGTTTGTTTGACTTTTTGGTGTTATTTATATTTGATCAAATAATGATTGAATGTGTATGGAAGTGCGAATTCGTTCGTGTAAAACTAATAATACTCTTCTAGCTATTTTACCCATTTTTCATCACCTAACTTTAATGGAGCAATGACTAGATACGAAAGCAACAAGTGACACTATAGAGTTTCTAGTTTCATATATTGGATGTGAATGGGAAATAGATACGTCACAGCCGAAAACAGAAATTCGCCTCAACATCGGTCAACCAAACCAGACAAGACCATTTCAGCGATCGTGAATTAAGTCAATTAATCGTATTTACGATCGTTTTTCTCATTCTGTCTCGCTTTTTTCTACACCATATTGCATATATGATGAACTTCTAGTTCTGCTATAGTAGTGCATTCACATTTGCAGCCGGCTTCGGTCATTTCAGTGCAATTATTTCTATTCAGAGTGCACACGAATATAGCAAAAGTGGGACAATAGTTTTTTTTTCTTGTATGAAACACTAATACACAATCACGCCGCTGATAATCTATTCAAACGGCGGCTTCGTGTACTTTTGTTGAAAGTAAAGCCAATCGAAACGTATGATTTTTGTTGGTAAACAGCACACAACTTTAGGGACGTAATAAAAATCACATTTTTCTACGGAATCAAGAGTGTAGTGTATGAAATGATGTTTTGAATTCTCTTACATAATTCATAAAAATACGTTTTGCTTTCATTTTCCGTTTTTCGCGATAAGAGATTTATTCTTGAAAATGAAATTGCAAGTTAGAGTTGATAGTCGACAACAGAGGTTACGATGACAACAAAAACAACAACAACAACAACGGAGGTGCTACGAACGAAGTTCACACATGCAAATTGTGGTTTATATTCAGTCGTTATAAAAATGAGGCGGTTGAAATGAGAGTGATAGCCGGAATTTTTTCCATTCTACTAAAAAAAGCCCTAGAATAGCCTGCGGCTATGTGTCTATATTTGTTTTGATTGATTCATTGATTGAACTTGCCGTCCAATGAACTACAATCGCTCGCTCGGTCGATCTATTGGCCGAATCGAATATTGTTACGTGATCAAAACCAGGTTCGCCTAACTGTACGAGCTCATAGTTTTAGCGATAAACTAGAGAGTAGGATCTGCCATGTGATTTTGAGTGCAAAAATTCGCTGTTGCTGCGCTACACAATATCAAATCTGCTGTTTACAGAATTAATATGTTTAACTCTCAGTGTAAACACGTATGTGCATCCGATATTCAGTATTATAATGGAAAAAAGTAACATTGATTCGGCTCTATAAATTGATAACATCTGCATGTTGTTGTTGTTATTGATAAAACTCCGGGAAATTGGATTATCTGGCATGTTTTGTGAGTTTCAAGCGCTTTGAACACACGACGACGACGACGCTCTTTTTTGCAAAATTATTTGTGATAAGACACAATTTTTTTATACTTGAAATTCTTTTTAGGAGCAAAGAGCTAAATTAATTCAATGTTTCCGTTTTGGAACTTGTATTTTGACAGGAAAGTGGTCACAACTATTCAACAATCGCACCGATTACAAATTATACCACAACCGATTCGGTTCAAAAAGTAAACAATGTATTGATGCGGTTTTACTCGAAATCTACCAAATCGACGAAACATCATCGAGAATACATTTCCGATTCGGACTCTGACTCTGATTCGGACGATGAACGACCAAAAGGCAAGGGAAAAGGAAAACTTACCGTAAGTTCTTGTGACTTTGCATTTTGTTCCTAATTCGCTATTCAATGGAAATAATTTTGTTCATTTATTTTTTGGTTGTGGCAATGATGGCGGCGATAGGGTGAAAGTGAATTTTGGCGCCGTAAAATGCGTACACTTCATTCACTGCTCGATGTGAATAAAGATGGAGTTATATCATATGATGATTTCCAAGTGCTGGCCGAAAATTTCGTTGCACTGGGCCATTTGAAACCAGATGCCGAAGTAGAATTCCGAGAAGTTCTCAAGACCATTTGGGAGACACAATTTGGAGAAATAACACCATACAATTTGATAAATGCCGAACAATACTTGACCGAAATGCATAATGCTGTCAATGACAAATCACAACGTGAGAGAATTCATGCATTTTTACCTTATCTGTTCAAGGTAATTGTACATTATCATTATCATTGAACAATATGTGTGTACATAAAAATATCTACGAATATTTTGTCAGTAAAAATTGCTATCAATATCATTTTGGCAGGGTGTGGACAAAGATCATTCCGGCTTCATTTCACTTACAGAGTACAAACTATTCTTCAAATGTTTGGGCCTGACACCAGAAGATGCGGCTGTTTCCTTTGCTGTGATAGACAAGAATGGCGATGGAAAGCTGTCAATCAAAGAATTCGTGAAATTAGGTCGTGAATACTTCTTAACCGAAGACGAAAAACGTGTATCTCGCATGTTTTGGGGGCCATTAATTAATGATCACTGACGACGATGATAATAGCAACGATAATATCGTTTAAACTTTTTGATATTTTTGGCTCGCAATTCATAATAATCAGTGATAGAGTGTGTCAATGTGAACGTTTATCTACGCAAAGAATTGAAATTTTTTATGAAGATATTAAATTGAAATGTAAATTTAGGTTAGACATTTGAAATGTAAACTGAGCATTAAGCAACTTAAGATTTTTATTGAGATTCATGTGGATATCCACGGAAACCATTGTTTACATCGGTTGGTTTGAAACATGAAAATAAATTTGAAAAGTTGAAGTGGGCTTTCATTTTTCTCTGTTGGTCTTGATTCGAAATTTCGTTGTTGCAAATGTTATCAATTTATTTTTTTTACCATTTGAGCAGTTATCATGAATTGTACTGCTAGGTATGTACATTGTACATTGGGGTCAGTTATAATTGCTGAAAAAATTAAACTTGAAATAAGATCAAATGTCTTTTCATTTTCGTCATTCATTTCGGCTGATCTTGAACTGTGAAAGGGGGAAATTTAGCTATTTCAAATCATTATAACTAGCTGGCCGGAAAGTTCATGAGACTACTAAAAGTTTCTTGTAGGATAGATGGAGACGGTGCGTTTGAGTTAAGCTCGTCGTCGCTTTAAACCTACCACAGTTTTTGATTACGTCATCAGGTTTTCGACTGTGGCCCCAAACTTGTGCAAAAATATGTGTTCAAATAATTCCCTAGGGGGAAGACACGGTATCAATTTGTCCTAATTCAACTATTTTGAACGATTTTTCCATTGTTTCTTCTAATTCCATAAGTTTTTGCTAATTTTTTAGTTTTTTCTTCCACACATTTAGTATTACCAATGCATTCCTTATGGAGATTTTTGTTTTGTTTATTTATTGTTGTTTGTAAACAAATCTGCCTATCTTTTTGCATTGTCTCTGTGCATTTCTTATGGACATATACTATGTACAGTGCAATACGTTGATATAGACAGACTTGTTGACAAATAACGGTAAATAAACAAAACAACCTCCTTTCCATAAGGAAATGTATTGGCAATGCTAAATGTATGGAACAAAAAAGTTTCAGTCTCTCTAATTTCTGCTAATTTTGCTATTTTTGAACGAAATATCACTATTTTTTTGATCGTGTTTGTCCCCTAGATAATTCCACTTCGATTTATTCTATAAGACTTATTCTTCTTCATGAAGGCAAACATCGGTCGAGTTTTTCTATGAATAATAATGTTTTTTATTCACTTTTAATTCTTAAAAATGTCTTTTAGCTCAAAATTTTATACGTGTTGTACACGTTAGAGGAGAGTACATGCCAATTTTAAAACAACTATTATTTTTCATAACAGTTGTTCTTCGGTCATACAATTTCTATGTTAATAATAATATATTGAATATAACAGAATCTCAGTATGTGAATCAGTGTTGGTTGAGTAAGTTGGTCTCAACCGAAAAGAAAGTAATGTAACACAGAACAAAGAACGAATTTTCCATTTCAATAATAAGAAAACGCATTTAACTAAAAGCAGGCCAACGGGTCTGATTGGCGCAAATTGAACAAACTCGAAATCATTATCACAATTAAAACAATTAAAAATCAAACACTAAACCTTAAACAGTCGGAATAAATTAAATCATCTTAACAAAACATTGACTCTCATTAGATTACTAGTAGATATATTTGTTTGAGTGTGTGCTTGAGTTTGAATGGTAATCCCCCTGGATGAATCCTGAATTTCATTCATCTTTTCTTTTTCATTCTTATTCGCTTCATCTGAAAGAACTTAAATTCTTCTCAAAATTTTGTCCATTTGTTCATAAATAGTTATACTATTATTAGTTAAAGCTGACTGAATTGGTTGGTTAATTATGGAGTGAACTGGGCGTCGTTGTCGTCGCCGTTACATTGAAAATCGCCGTTGTAATGGCCGTAGTTAAAGGCAACGATATCGGTGGTGGTGAAGGGCTGATAGTTGATGCTGCTGCTTCTTCGATAGTTGTTAAATTGTTTCCATTAGTTAAGCCTGTTAAAACTGAAGCTAGTGTGGTAGCTACTGCGGCTACAAATGTTGATAGCTCAGTCGTTGTTGCCATAGTTGATGGTTGCATCGTAGTGGGTGTCGTTGTCGACCCTATCAAAGTAGTGGAAACAATTCCTTTAATTGTTGTCGCTGCTGTTGTTGTTGTTATATTTGCTGGAGCCTCTGTGGCTATGAAGGGAAATTTCGGGCATGGATTGATAATCGGCGGGCCAAGCATTGAATCAAATACGTAACCAATCAATGAGCCCGCCGTTAAGCCGATATTGTATGAAAGTGTCATCATGTTGCCCGTTGCTTCTTTAAGAGTAGCTGGTACTTTTGCAGGTGCAAACATCATAGGTAATGAGCCCGCCAAACCGTTCGTTATTCCAAGTGCTGCAGTGAAAATGAACGCCGGCGTTTCACCTGTTATAACGGGCTGTGACCTCGGTGAACAGCATAACAAAAGCAATGGGACCAACGATATTCGCATCGTAGATAATAGGATCAATTGACGTCTTGACCAAGCATATGGAATTGATGCCATCACCTGTATGTAGGAAGAAAACAGATATAGCCATTATGATCTGAAACAAATAATATGTGTATACTTAATGAATATTATTTATAGTTTTCCGTCACCTTTCCAATAACATCAGATGTATTGAACATAAACATCAATAAAACGGGCATCCAAGTTTTCAAATTGCACGAAATAATTTCCGATTCAATCCCGGGATACAGGGACAATGTGACACAATAAGCCAGTGCTATGCACACCATATAAGGATATATTGCTTGTGCCACTCTCCATCTTGAATCGAGGCCACTGCGAAAACTACCAAATCGACGGTTGCCGCCACCGGCACCTGAACAACTTGGCGCGAGAACGTGCTCTACTTTGAATGCTACATTTGGCAAGGGATCACTAACAATACCCGCCAACGCCAACGATGGCGGTGGTGTTGAAGCATTTGCTGCTGTTAACGAATCTGGCAAATGATTCAAAGTGTCCAGCAAAGCGCTTTCTCCGGCACTCGGATTCGATAATTCATATTGAACGTCATATACTGGATTGCTAAAACTCAGTCCAGTTGTTTGTCGTCCACAACCGCTACCACTTCCTAATTCCGACGAATTCACTGTTGTGGTAGTCAGCAAATCGAGCTGATTCAGATTGTAATGTTGGCGACCGCTGTGGTGATTTGGCTTCTTCGAAAAAGCATTGTACTTGGAGTTCAGTGCCGATGAGTCTTCCATTAGATCAGACTGTAATGCATAAAAGAATCGAACCATAAAAAAATGCATTTTATTAAATAAACGACGGCGACGATACTCACCAAAACTCGGTCTTCATCGGGTCGAAGAATAATTTTCGACGAGCAGCATGCTTTCATATGGTAGCGAACAAATGGTGAATGAATTGTGGTAGAGTGAAGTACATAGCTGAATGCAATGTAGATGGTGGATGTCAAGAAGAAAACGACTGTGGAAACTTCATCGCTAGATATGACTAGTTTGATTGAAATGCGTGTGGAAGCGACCAAAAGACCAGCCAAACTCTCTCCGGCCATTACCGCCTGTGTGTACTTCTTGGGAAACATGCTTGCAAATCCATAGAAACTGGACTGTTGAATTGTGCATCCAATGGCTGTCAGAGAAACAGCAACCAAATTCACGGAGTAGGCGGTTTGAGCACTGAACATGTGAAAGGCCACTTCACACAAAGCAACAAATACCAGCGTGCTCAGTGAAACTGCATAGCCGAAAATAATGCGCACTTTGAAGGAAAAAAATGACAGAAACAGGTTATTTAACAGTACTGTTGCAAAAGCAACGATTATGTATGTCATCGACATGTCCAACGCTACGGAGTGGCCGGGAAATCTTTCTTGCCAGTAATCGGATGCCATGATAAAACTGAAAAGGTAAACAACAATATTTGTTTTATAAACAACAGTGATTGGGTGTGGTACGGTGCTGTGCTGTGCTGGTAAACCAACCTGTTATAAGGTAATACGAAACCGATGCCAGCCGCGATGAGGGCAATGTACAAAATTCCGTTCCGATCTTGTGGCGGAGATGTTTCAACATCAGGACTGTCTGTTGATTCGAGCCGATTACGTGGTGGTGGTCGGTGCCCTTCCAACGGCTCATACGTACTTTCTTGATGATGTGCTTCCATGTCCATCATTTTTTGTCTTGCAAAATAAATGTGTATTTATTTGCTGATTTATAATTTAATTGGTTCGTACTACACTTGGCCACAACATATAGTAGGTTGAAGCTACTACTGTTGGCGAATACTGTCAATTTGATGATGTACAGTATGTTGCGATTAACAGTTCCACTTTTGCAATTTCATTTGCTAACTTGCTGCTGTAAAGAACAAGAAAATACGATATGATAGATAAAAAAGGGTTTGTATGCATGTGGTGAGTATTAAGGTACTTTGTATGAGGTACGACTATTTGATTGATGTAGCTTTTCTACATTTTGCGTGAAAAAAACCAAAGCACATTCTACCATTTCCAATCTCCACCTTTTTTCATCAAAAACAACAATAGCCAAACGTACGGCCGATGATTCGCATAAGCGTAAGAATTTTGCGTGAGACAGTAGAATTAAAACCAAAGCATGGAATTAAATTTATTTATATACTGTATGTATATATCTATCCCATATGTAGTATGTGTTCAATGCGGTCGAATGTTATCAGGCCGCTGCAAAATACACATGAAGCAATAGTAGCAGTGAGAAATGGCTCAATGTAAACACAAAGCAGTGATGACGCTACTTAGCACACATACATATACCGATCGGCCAACCGCCGTCAACCGACCAACCAACTCAGGTGGATATATCAGACGTAGGCGCGTAATTATATGAAAATTCCCCATTTCCATGGCAGGTGCTGCTGCTGCTGCTTCAGTACTATTCTAATAAAATGCTATTCAAATGTACATTTCAGCATAACTATATCTTCTCTAAATGTGATTTATATAATTCGCTATGAAATTGTAAGTAAAAAAATGGAAGGCTGTATGCGGAAAATTATCTGTGAATTCTCATTCGACAGGGGTTATTACTCTCAGAATTAAGGGTAAATATTTTCTATCAAAACTTTTGATGGAGGTAGTGTGTGTTTCTTTCGAAAATGAAATGACAACCCAATGGAACTCTTTTTGTGAATACATTACACAAGTACACAACACTTGACAGCAGCCAACCAGCGATGTCAAGAGCTATTTTTATCACGCAAAAAAACAACGAAAAATCACTCACTTGCAAGGTTTTAATCCAAGTAAGGCTCTCTTTGTATCGTCGTCGTTTTTTTTTTCGCTGTTAGGAAAACTATCTAGACCTAAGATTTCACTTTTGCCAATAGCAATGGGTTAACCAACTCGATTTGCATACATTTTTGTACTTTTATATATTAATTCACACTGTTTGAAATTTAAAAAAACATAATGTGCCTTTTTCCTAAAGTTTTTCCATAGATTTCAACTTTATTGACCAAAACGCTTCAGCGTGTGTTGTTGATACACTCTGCCGTCGCGCGATTGACGTTAATTATGGTTTTTCAGCAGCGACAGCAGCATTCATCCCACTAGTGTTTGTGTGCATGTGCACAGATGGTATTCTACAACAGGCTGTGTGATTCGGTTCGTCGAGGAGCATTTTTGTTGTGGTTGTGATTGTAGTATATAGTTGGCATCTGCGCACAACAATTCACTCACCGAGATTTTAACGTTAGCTCTTCATTCTTTTCGCCTAGTACACACGTCATCTATCCGAAAATAGGAAAATTATTGTAATTTTGCCGTTATAAAACGCGTTTCTTCTATCAATACGATTTGATAAAACGTGGTGGTGGTGTTTATCAATGAAATACTGTGCGGCTATTTCACACAGTCAGCTGTGGAGCATATTTTATTTTTTTTGAATTTGAGATGATGTTTGATCGCCGCCGAACAACAAACCATGAATCACACCACGATAACAGAATTATGATGATGAGACGATGGGTCATCACATTGTTTTCATTTTACATACATATATGCGGCGCTTCGTCTTTAATATTCTCGTAGACGGAGGAGATGCTTACGTTGTTCTGATAAGAGTACTCAGTACTAGTTGCTTTTTATATTCGAGGTATTGTTTACTATATAGTGTATATTTAAAATACCTCGAATCATTGACCCCAAAAAAGTCTCAGTCAAAACTTATCACAATGACAATATCGTCGTCATTGCAGCAAACAAAAAACTGTAACTTGATATTTCGTAGATCTGTTTATTCTTATCAAATATAATTAGATTTAGTGCTTATAGCCCATCATTATCATCATCATTTATGCACATACAAATGTTGCCAATTTCAATAAATTTGTAGATCGCAATCAATCAATGTAATCCCAGTTCAAATCTGCGAATAAAAATGATTATCATCTTACAAAGGAGAAAAAAAAAGATGAAGTCGAGACTGAGATGATAAGTTCTGATATTTTGGCTTAAGTATAATATTTTTGCATCCAGATCAATTCAAAGCTTCCAAACTATATGTCTTTGTACACAACAAAAAAGGGTGGTGTTGAAATGAATAACTTTGTCGTAGACGTTAACTAAAAGCTCCCATTTCCTTGGTTCAAAATTGAGATGTTCTTTTGATAGATAGACGAATAGCCGTAACAATGACGGTCATCCTAAAAAGTGAGTGACGTCCGGGACCATAACTAATGTGACCAGACCTCCTATATTGGGTAGGAGACTCCTATATATTTATGCCTAGTCCTATATCCTATATCATTTGACAAAATTCCCCATATTCTCCTATATTTCTTTCAATTTCAAATGGAACAAAAAAAATCATTTAAAATCAAAAATATACGCTAAATTGAGACATCGAACAGCTGTGTTTCGTTTTCTGATGAACTTTAATCAGCATTCAAAATAATATTTGTGTATTGTTTGTTTAATAAACAAAACGCAGCCGCTGAAAAAAAATATGTCGCATGATGATTTTCGTAGAGTCTTAGAAGACTGTGTGAATAACAGAATTATTAATTATCAAATCGTTGTTCAAGAATATGCTGTGTATAAATATATATGTGTGTGTTGACTGCAAACGAAGCCTTAGTCGAAAAAGGTTTAGGTTTCGAAGCATTTGAAATTATGAGTCAACTGAAAAATTCCATCCAAGTTCAAGCTGATGATAAATATCGTACATACGAATTTCGAGACGAAAACCGAAAAATCAAGAACAGTTTACCATTTACTCTGACTTCAAAGGGCAAGAAAGGTGGTGTAGTCGAAACCGTCATCGATCAAAAATACATTGACCAGCTAGTTGAAAAGTTTCATGGCAAGTTTGCATTTACTTTAAAATGAAATTAAGTTAAGTTACTCAAGTACTGTTTTATTTCTTTACAGAAAATACTCTTGCATATTTGACCAAGTGGTTGGAATGGCTTTCTCCAATTGAGAAATGGGGATGGGTCGCTATGAAGTCGATGCCAAAGTGGGACGAAGTTGAAGAATGCGTGGACGATCTCATCGCGAAGAAATTTATCGATGCGTTAAAGGAAAAGGAAATCCACGCAGAATATGCTCACTTGAAACCATTTATTGAATTTTCAATTTCAAAATGGAAAGAAGAAAATGTATCCGCTCAACAGCGTTGGCTTGATGTTTTCGCGTTCTTGCGAACAAAAGAACTTCCATTCAACAACTTTGCCATTCTGATTGAATATGCGTTCACTATGTGAAGGTGCTGAATTACTTATTGATAAATAAAAACTGAAATTTTGATTTACTTATTTTTTTTCTTAAATTGTGATAGGTGCAAACTTGGTGTGTGAACGGCTTTTTTCATTAGTAACCAACTGCTGGACCGACAAGAAATCTCGACTCACAATCGACACACTGAAGAGCTGGCTGCAAGCAAAATTCAACATGACCATGACTTGTGAACAATTCGCTGAATACATTCGTACCCGCGAAGATATTTTGCGGGAGGTAACATGCATTGAATAAATCCAAGCTTATTCAATAATAATGTTTTCTTTCTTTTTTTTCAGGTTCAAGCTGATCCGAAATACCACGTTTGAATAATTGAAAAATGCGACCAAATCGATATCATTCAAATTTTCATAAGCAAATATTTGATCTCTGAACTATGAATAAACACTGCATACACTTTATCTATCAGTAGCACACAAGATGTTCTTGTTTTAATCGAATTTGGTGTTTTTTTTGTAATTTTTAACTAGTCCTATATTTCGACCGAAAAAATATAGGATGTCCTATATTCTCCTATATTTTTGACTCCGAACTCCTATTTATTCACCAAAATGGTCTGGTCACATTAACCATAACTCATGGCTGTTGAAATTTTTTTATTATTATTATTATCACTATGACTGTTCTTGGGGCATCCAGGGCCCCCAGCGAACTTTAAAGCTGAATAAAAGTACTAAACAGTGTATAAACCAACCGGAGTTAAGTCTCATTGTATAGATTGAACATTTCTCTACACGAATGACATATACACATATGCATATGTGTGAGTATGTGTAAAATACAGCCTGCCGCAAAACTGGACTATGATAAGAGATAACGACTTGGTGTCTTCGGCAAAGTTGTAGAGCAGCTTGAGGACTACAATTTTGTCATAGATACTAAGTCGATATCTCTTATCATAGTCCAGTTATAATATAAAATAGCCATGGGGCCCTGGAGTCCCCCAAGAACAATCCAGCGTAACATTATTATTGTTGAGAAACCGCGAAAAAACGCGTTTTTTCCTTATCATTTTTTCACGGAACTGATAAGAGATAACGAAATAATAGATCGGAATAATTGTAGTACTCGACCAGAACTGCAACTTTGCCTTAGACACCATCTCGTTATCTCTTATCAGTTCCGTGAAAAATGATAAGGAAAAAAACGCGTTTTTTCGCGGTTTTTTTGCGGTTTCTCGCGTATTCCGCGAAACTGATAAGAGATAACGACTTGGTATCTTCGGCAAAGTTGTAAAACAGCTTGAGTTCTACAACTTCGCTATAGACATGAAGACGTTATCTCTTATCAGTTACGCGAAAAACGCGAGTTTTTGCTTATCATTTTTCGCGAAACTGATAAGAGATAACGACTTGGTGTCTGTGGCAAAGTTGTAGTACTCGACCTGTTCTACATTTCTATCGAAGAAGCAAGTCTCTTACTTTTTATCGGCTTCACTAAAATGAGGTGGGAAATTTTCGCGATTTTCGCGTTTTTCGCGGAACTGATAAGAGATAAGCAATATTTGTTGCAACAAAATTATAGCAAACCTCGAGCATTACAACTTTGCTTCAGACACTAATTTGTTATCTCTTATAAAAGTCCAGATTTCATATGAAATACATATGGGGCCCTGGAGTCCCCCAAGAACAGTAATATGTTGCAAATATGAAGAACAGTCATCGTGTTAATAAGTATGTAAATTCAACCACATCATTCAAATCGCTTTGCAGTAATTCACAATCATCGGTACTATTGATAAGCAGCGATATTTTGGTGTCGTCAGCAAACAAATGAACGAGCGCATATTTTACATGATGAGGCAAGTCTGCGATGAAAAGTATGAATAAGGTAGCGCTAATTAAATATAAATCTTCACGATTTGCTAACGATCGGTTAGATAGTCATGAATCCAATTTTGTATCTGTTGGTTCAGCCCCATAATATTAAGTTTATAACACAACAGCTCAACATCGACTGAATTACAAATAACATTTTGGTGAAGTTGAAAAAATAACCGCTGTTCACCCAGCTAATCAATTGCTGGTTCCTCCTCTACTGCTAATTATTTTATTAGAAGCAAGTATATTCGTGAGCAATAAAAAAACAAAATAAACAATCGAAATAGACATACATTTTTTACACTTTATTTTAACCACACTTAGATCCAATGATAATGCTTCGTCCATAAAATTTCAGAAAATTATGATTAAAATTTCGGACAAAGTATCATCATTTGTACAATCGCTATTGTTTGGTTCGAACGCGATGAATAGATTGTTGATCTGCAGCCCATGAACAACTGCGTGCGAAACTTAAACAGTTACTGCATTGGTACACACTCCACTGATTTACCATGTTATTATACGGCTGAACGATGACTTGTCAATTCAAATTGGTGGCGTCTCCAGAAAGTTCATACAATTATTTTTGAATATAATTTTATTCGTGCGATGCTTGGTGTGTTATCGCAACAATTTGTTTGTGTGCTAAAGTTGTCTTATAGAAAATAAAAAAAGATCAATTCTATATTTGTACTATAACTTAGCTTTAACCGTGTTTCGATTCGAAGCGCTAGCTAGCTATGCGCAGCTGACCTTTACTGTACGCTGTCCAAATACTGAATGAACTAACTTGTTTGTTCTGAAGAAGCTCCCAAAAAAATGTTACATAAAAATTGTGATAAGAAGCGACTATTTCAACACATGTTTCGACCGATACTGAATTATTTTGAGTAGGACATGTAAATTCGTAAAAAAAACTCTAATCTTTAAACCACAGTTAACTGCGTTGATAGCAATTATGTTGCTGCACTGTAATTCTTTCCGGCAGTCTATAATGATGAATAGCTTTTTTGCTTTTCCTAATGTTTCGATGCTTTTGGTTATCAGACAAAATTCTAAATTAAGCTCTGCGCTATCAATCCAAACTGAAAAACTAAACGAAAAAACGAGAAACAAGTGTATATGAATGAACGATGGACCACCGAAAAGTTCATTTCGTGTTCAGTTTTCAAAGTGTAAAGAAGTTCTCAAGTGGTCAAGTGATTAGTGAATAAAAATTATTAGGTTGCCAAGTGCTTTTAATTCGGCACATGTGAATAGAAAGAAGAACTTACGGAGAGCATACAGTCAGTACAGTGAAAATATTTTGTGAAACCGATCATTTTGATTTAAGGTAAATTTCTTCTTGAAAATGACAAGTTGATTTGTATAATTTTCTTTAAATTTGTGGCAAATTTTCGTTCAAATTTTTACAACCGGAAATGACACGTGGCATAGAAAAATTCAAGTTGTGAGAATCACAAGTGAAAATAGTCTTCATCTGAGAGGGTTTTCATCGAAAATTAATGGAAATACATTTTAAGTGCTTGAAAAGGGTGCGATTTATCATTTTGATGTGAAAATTATGATTGTGATTGTGCAATTGGAAGTTTTCGCGGCCCGCCATGTAAATTACATAATATGTTTAAAATATTCAAATAGATTTATGTATTAAATCGAAAATCGGAATTCTGAAATATTTTGTTCCAATCAATCCTCTGATATTAGTGTAAAAAACCACAAATCGGTAAGAAGTATTGAATTAAAAAAAACTCATTGGCGGCATTGAAGTTGTTTCAACAGATTTACTTTCGTGAATTATTCGTTCAAATTGACTATAGTCACTCCGAAAGTGTCATCATTTGGTTTAGTAAAATTTGTTGCATTTTCAATCATTTAGTGCGCGATTATCATTAAGGAGCACCCTACAACCAGAATGTGTCTAATCTAATCTTGGTCGTGGTGGTGATTTCGCAATTGAGGAGACAAGTAAAAACAGGAAGTGAAATGGCGAAATTAAAAACGCTTTTGATATGCATGGTGGTGTTGGCTATAGTGACATCATGTTTGGCCGACGGACAACAAAGTAATAATCATAAGAAGCAAGGCGGCCGGAAAAAGACTGAAGCAACATCAGCGACCAAATCAAAGAAAAAACCACAATCTGATGCTCCGTTGCCATCCAAAAAGAAATGTATGTGCGATACTGGTTTATGGCATTCGCTGAAAATATTCTATTTGCTGTTCGGAAATTGTGAATGAAACAAGTGAATTTGGAGGAAGAAAATCGGTTGTGTGATGATGGCCTGAAAACAGTTATCACAACGGATGTGATAACCGCGCACTTGCTTTGGCCAAAAATTGTCGAAAATTTCACATTTGCCCTTTTCATGAGCATTATTAACAGTACTTATCTCGGAATTTCATGTGGACAGTGGACGAGTCGTCGCGCTAATTCGTTGTCAGCTTTTTTTTAACGAATATATTCATATGTGATTTGGATTTCTTTATCATTTTTTTTTAAATCAAAGGCAGCTGCTGATTGAATTAATCCTACATATATTACTTCATCATAGAAAACAGAACTATTCTGTTCATAATAAATGACATGAATAAACTGCTGCCATTTGCTGTTCATAGACAGACAGTTTGAACTTTGATTTTTGTTGAATCTCTCTTTTACAAATCACTTGTTTCGAATTAACATTTTCACGGAACAATGAATCGAATATCAGCTGCTAAAGAAATGCCCCCATTATTATGTGTCTGCTGATGGCAATGAAATGAAGTAATAAAAGTTATTTTTGAAAACAAAACAATTCATCATTTTACCACAGTGACACTACGCGATGAGGAATACGACGATGGAGATGGTGCAGATGGAGACTATTACGATGAAAATGAAGGTAAGAAATGAACCATTCTGTCAAATGGCTTCCAATTGTTTTCAGTGCAATTAAAATTTAAATACGTTGATTTAGATCCCAACGAGGCGGGTAGACAGCAGCCACCTTACAACAAAAATAACCGAAATCATGGACAAACTGAAGCGGTAGCTGGAGGTATGTATACAGTAAATACGAGACGACTTCTTTTTCACATACGAAATTTTACATCATCATAGGTGGCAGACCAACTCAACAAAGTGAGGCGGTTGTTGGTAATTTTCCTTTTACGATTTATGATTTTCAATTTTAAATTAGAACTGACAATTAACTATAGTAGTTATCATCATCATCATCGTGACCCGATAATATATATATTATTTGTTTGTTTTGCAGCACCGTTCACATGTGAATATGAGGGGAAACGGTACCGATCTCTTGAGAAGTTCAGCAGCGGGGTAAACGGTTGCGCTCAATGTATTTGTATTGATGGTAATGTCAATTGTGACGAGTCTAAGTGTCAAATCTTGGTGGATCCACCTGAAACGCCAAGTGTAAATGTACCATTGCCACCAAGACAACCACCATCACCACCAGCAACCACAACAACGACCAAACAACCAATCATCCGAGCAGATACACAAACAGGCAGCGAAAAGGGACCCTCGACACCTGATCTCGCATACTATGCAAGCCGCTTAACCGATGCCAATATTAATTCACAGAAAGGACCACCACCAGATGCCATGTCCTACTATCCAGAACAATTTCAGTATATGCAAGCGCAACCTGGTTTGAGAGGACCGCCGGGACCACAAGGTAAAATCAAGAATTGGAATGTTTCGACAAGCAAATTGACATGTATACGTAAATAATTATAACACTAATTGATACAGGTCTTGCCGGACAACCTGGCTCTCCCGGATCGCAAGGTAATAAACAATGCTGACGAAATGACACTACACCAATGCATAAATAGTTGCTTACTTTTTTTGTCATTTTCCTTATCAAAATTGGATGTACTTAACTTGGTACTTTTTTCGTTTAAGGACCAATTGGAGAACCCGGAGCTATTGGCCCCGCTGGTCCAAGAGGACCCACTGGATCCCCTGGATCGCCAGGTGATATTTTGTTTTATACGTTATCACAATTCTGATCCTCTTCAATGAATAATTTTTCAATTCGTCGCAAATTTTAGTGCAAAATCGATTGGTTTGCATGCTTGTTCGTTTTCAGAACAGTTGATAATATAGCAAGTTAACAAGTAAACGTCGTTTTTTCTTTCAATAAAACCTGGACGAATTGCAAACATATTACAATTGTTCAATTGTCAACACGAAAAATCAATATTTAAAATATATAGCTCATCGATTACTATAATTTATACTCAAAATGCTGTCTACTGATTTAGGAAAGGATGGAATTCGTGGAGAAGATGGCGAAGTGGGTTTGCCTGGCGTTGCTGGTTTGTACACCCCGAACGAATATAACTTTTTTTGAATTATCTAGTACGACAAATTAATAAATTATGTGTATTGCAGGTGCGCCAGGTCCAAGAGGACTACCAGGTATTCCAGGTATACCTGGCATGAAGGTAATTGACCGAATAATGTTTCTAGTTGATTCATACTATAACTATAATAAAAATACTTGAAGGGTCATCGTGGGTTTGCCGGCACGGATGGCGCAAAGGGTAAGCGAATAAAAGAGTGACTCTATTTTAGTAATGTGGAACTTGGAAAATCCTGAAGATAAAGCTCATATATGAGTAGTTTGGAGCGAAAATGTAATACAGAAAAGTTGCGCGGAAAAATGTCAAATGAAAAGAGGTAGCTATATAGTTCACTATAGTTTACTATCCCTTTTCCGCTCATTCATCATCGACATTTTTCCGCGCAACTTTTCTGTATTACATTTTCGCTCCAAAATAATCATATGATATTCCAAGTCTCATATTTATAAAAATGCAAAATATCATCTAATCATATTCGAACAAAACACACAGGTGATAAAGGGGAATCAGGTGAAAAAGGTTTGCCAGGAATTGGATTGCCAGGACCACAAGGACCACCAGTTAGTTTATTTATTTTTCATTGATTATTATAACCAATATAGCAGCATTGATTTTGACAACTACTTGTCGTATTTCAAACGATTCTAAAGTTCTTCTGGAAGCTATTTTGCTGTCCATCCAATAAACTGTGTACAAAATTATTATTAATTTTTTAATTGTTGCGACCAGGGACCACCAGGAAATCGCGGAACGGAAGGATTGCCAGGCCCTCAAGGTACATTTTACGATTTTCAATTGTCAAATCTTGATTCATTTGAATAAGTCACTGAATATTATTCTCTTATTTTTGAAACATTAAACATTAAGGATTACGCGGTAATGACGGTGCCATTGGCCCGATAGGTCCATCTGTGAGTATAGTTAGGATAATCAAAGGAATTGTTCATATATGAAAATGGTCTACGCACCATATGCGGATTAATTTTTATGCTAAAAGTTCATTCACTGAAGTCAATCGACTATCGTTTTTTATTGATTCAATAGGGACCACAGGGAAAGCCGGGCTTACCTGGGTTTATTGGACCGCCTGGAATAAAAGGTAGGAAAAAAATATTTTTTGCATCTTCTTCATTATTTAACTCTTAATTTTTGTTTGTTTTAGGTGATACAGGTTTGCCGGGCCAAAAGGGCGATACCGGAGCTCCAGGTGAACGCGGTGAGCATGGGCCTCGTGGCGAACCTGGAAAAGATGGGTCGGATGGCAAAGATGGTGCCAAAGGAGACAAGGGCCATCAAGGTACTGGAGTCCCTACCTATTTTGGCTATGTAACAACGATTCACAATGTTTTCTTTTGTAGGTTTGCCCGGAACGCCTGGTCCTATAGGTAATATAAACATAAACTGATTTTTATATTAGTAACTCTTATTTAAATTAAAGTGCTTAAAAATCTAGACAACATTTTATTAACATATTTTTGTCCTAAAGGTTTTCCCGGTCAGCGTGGACAAGCTGGAGCAGATGGTTTAAATGGTGAAATGGGGCCGAAAGGAAATTCGGTAAATTTCCTAAATATATTCTGCAAAGTGTCCAAATCTAATATATTTCAAATGCTTTTTTAAACAAATTGAAGGGTCCGCCCGGCGAACGTGGTGCGAAAGGAGATGCCGGAGTTAAAGGAGACGCCGGTCAACCTGGTCCGAGAGGCATTGGCAGTGTAGGCCCTGAAGGACCAAGAGGCAAAAGAGGCATGCGGGGACCAATTGGTAGGCATTCCATTCAGTTTTAATGTGTACATCTATTCTAATAAATGTTTCTTCGGTTTCGTTTCAGGTTTGCCAGGTATTTCCTTCGGTTTATTCTACACTCACTGACTCACCTTTACTTCAAGGCGAAAACAAACATTGATTTGAGCTATGTTCAGTGTCAATAGATGCTTCTAAAACCCACTTTGAATGAAATTAATTTTTTTCCTCCATTCAATACCTAGGTCCACAGGGAGAAAGAGGCGCAAATGGACTCCCGGGTATGCCAGGAAATGAGGGCCCCTTGGGGCCTAAGGGTCATGCTGGTGACACCGGTAAGAAGCTTTTCTTTAAAATTCGCAAATGTATTTCGATATATCATATACTACTGATACATGTAATTGAATATTTATGTAGGTGCTCAGGGAGCCATGGGTCAAAAAGGGAGTCAAGGGGACGCAGGAGCACCTGGCGTAGCAGGTAATACCTTTGTAGTTCAATAATTGATTGATATTCGGCATGGTTCGAAAGATTTGAAATTATATCGACTATAATAATTTGTACTATATGTTAGGTCCGATCGGATTACGAGGTTTACCAGGCAAAATTGGGGCACCTGGTGTGCCAGGTAATGTTTACGTTTGATTGTTATTGTAATCGATATTTAACTTCTTTTTATTTCTTAAACATCTTTCTCAATACATAAATACGTAAAGGCGAACGCGGCCCACAGGTAAGTGTTGAACTTTTTTTCTTCCCTCAAGTGCGTTTTTTCTAAGCGTTCACTCTTTTCACACTAGGGATTACAAGGGAAAACTGGTGAAATTGGACCGCAAGGTAGATCGAAAACCAGGGCGCGTTATGAGCTGATGTCAGCAGCACTAACTAACGTCAGCAGCTGACGTTAGTGCTGCTGATATCAGCTCACAACACGCTCTGTTGGAAACTCTTCAACTTTCAACTATCTATCACATTGGATCTGCTTTATTTCATTTATGAATTCCAAATTAATGCTATGATGAAATCATTTTTATTTTAACACAGGCATTCAAGGAATTCCCGGGCCAATTGGTACGTATTTCATTCAGTTTTAATGTGTACATCTATTATAATAAATGTTTCTTCGCTTCAGGTTTGCCAGGTGACAAAGGTTTGACTGGAGAACGAGGACGTGACGGCGGCAAAGGACCAATCGGTCCAGCGGGAGAGAAGGGAGAACAAGGCGGCAGGTAGCCGCGCCTCATCCATGTGAACCATTTTTGATAATAATCACCCTTTTATTCTTCCTTTTTTACAGAGGTGAACGCGGTGAGAAAGGCGATCGTGGAAATGACGGTGAGCGCGGGGAACCTGGCTCAATCGGACCACGTGGCTATTTGGTAAGCCTCTGTTAAGTTAAAGCTGTAAATCAATTGCATGACTGCGAATAAAACCATTGAGCTACACTACCGTGCAAAAGTTTGGAACCACTAGGTATTTTTCATACAAATTGACCATTTTTGGTGGACTCATCAACATATTTCGGAAACACCTGCACTCTTGATATTTTGTGCATAGTTTCTACAACGTTTCAATAGTAAATCACAGAGGTTTCATCAAAAAATATTCATTTATATTTGAATTTGTACTGTGTGAAAAATGATCAAATTTGTATGAAGATTAAAACAGATCAAATTCAAATTGATATTTTTTTTAAATACGTGAATATTTTTGATGAAACCTCTGTGATTTACTATTGAAACGTTGTAGAAACTATGCACAAAATATCAAGAGTGCAGGTGTTTCCGAAATATGTTAATGAGTCCACCAAAAATGGTCAATTTGTATGAAAAATACCTAGTGGTTCCAAACTTTTGCACGGTAGTGTATATGGCATGGCTAGCTATTGGCATGGTTTTGGCAATAACCTATTGCTAGTATGTACTGCAAAAGACAAAAGTGCGAGTTGAATCTGTCGCATGAAAAGGATAAACACGTCCGTATGGAACAATTCATTGTTTCTAAAATATTATTAATTTTTTTCGGTACATGGAGCGATATTTGCATACTCCTTTTCCAAAATGCCTTCTTTGGTTTCGACAGATTCAAGTCGTGACTTTTTATTATTTTTATTCGTTCAATAAATTAAAGTATGAGCAGAATATGTTCACTTAAACTATAATGATATTTTGCATTTGCAGGGATTGCCTGGTGCACAAGGTTTGAATTAACTTCATGAATGCGAAACGATTAAAACGTTTTGTAAAAGATTCCAATGTGATCCATCGAAACTTTTCCATATTTCGTATTAATCTTTTTCGTATATTATAATATTATTTAATTAATTCTGTATTTCTTAAGGAAACATTGGTCCACCTGGAGTCGGTGTGGTATGTACGAGATGAAAGCAAACTGTAGCATTATTAATAAAAAAAATCGTGTTTCTTTTTTCCGTTTTTTTAGCCTGGTTCGCCTGGCCCCATCGGACCTATTGGCCCTCGTGGCATTCGTGGTGAAGTAAGTGTTTGTTTTCAAATATTAACCTTTTGTTCGTCTTCGGGGCACAAGTGCCCGGGCGCCTTTAAATTGCAAATAAAATTACTAAAAATAAAAAATCTCACAATAAATTTAAGACCATTCGATAACTTGAACCTTTAGCTTAACATCACTTAGTTTTCATGTTCATATGTGTAAGCATGTGTGAGATATTGCCTCTGAAGCACACATGTGCGTTGCCCGTCTCTTGGGGCATACAATGCCCCAAGTGTATTTTGTATTAAAACTGGACTGTGATCGATATCTCTTGACTTGCTGTTTTCGGCGAAGTTGTAGTACTTGAGGTCCACTACATTTTTGCTGAAGACAAATATCTCTTATCTCTTATCAGTTGCGCGGAAAATGATGAGAATGGATTCGCGTTTTCTGCGGTTTTCCGCGTAATTGATAAGAGATAACGAAATAAAGCATGTGGAAAATTGTAGTACTCAAGCTGCACTTCAACTTTGCTGAAGACAAATATCGCTTATCTCTTATTATCAGTCACGTAAAATAAAATTTATCAAAAATCCCGTATTGTGGGCGGTCTTCAGCGAAGAGGAAATTTTGCGTCTTTGCCGAAGACATCATTTCGTTATCTCTTATCAGCAGTCAATGACAGATAGCTGAGCAGAGAATCATTTCAGCATAGATATTCAGTTTACAACTGAATTCTCAGTAACTGAATGCAGTCACTGTGCGTCGCTGTGAGTAAGCGGGCGCTCTACATTCAAGCGCAGGCGTGTATATACATTGGTTTACACTCAATTGTGAGTATGCGTGCGAGAGAGGAGAGAAGAGAAAAGAACGAACAATATGTGTCGCATTGAACGATTTGAGTGAACGTCGTCTTGACACAGTGTCAGTGTGGCGAATACTTACTATTTGTCTCTTCGAATCATTATTCCTTCTTCTTTTTCTTCCAACAAATTTATTAGCAGCATGCACACAACCAAAAAAGTTAAATTCTAAAACTAAACACAACAAACCAATGATCATTGATCTGTTTATTTTATGAATTTGATTTTTTTTCTTGTGTTTGTGCTGTTGACAAATTTGTAAGAAGATAAAGAAGCAGGAACGACAATTCGAAGAAACAAAGAGTAAATATTCGCCACAATGACACTGTGTCAAGAGGACATTCACTAGCATCGCTCGATGCGACACATTTCGTTTTGTGAATTTTTATCGACATCATATTTTTTTCAATTGAAAATGTCAACTTTTGAGCCAAATTCGCGTCATTTGCGGGAAGTTTTGCTTTTCTTCTTTAATTCGAAGAAATCTGCAGCTGAGGCCCATCGATTGCTGTCGGATATTTATGGTGAAGCCTCTTTTGGTGAAAGAACGTGTCGTGAGTGGTTTCACCGCTTCAAAAGTGGCGATTTTGACGTCGAAGACCGGCATGGTGGTGGAAAAAAGAAAATTTTCGAGAACGCCGATTTGGAGGCATTGCCGGATGAAGATCCATGTCAAACACAAGAAGAGATTGAAAGCATTGAGATTCATCCAAAAGCAAGGAAATTGGGTGCCACACGAATTGCAGCCAAGAAACGTCGAAAGACGATTTTGCATGTCTGAAATGTTGCTGGAACGGCACAAAAAAAGTCGTTTTTGCATCGTATTGTGACTGGCGATGAAAAGTGGATCTACTACGATAATCCAAAGCGCAAAAAATCGTATGTCAAGCGCGGCCAACCAGCCAAATAGACGCCAAAGCGAAATATTCACGTTTCGAAGGTAATGCTCTATATTTGGTGGGACCAGAAGGGAGTGGTGTACTGGGAGTCGCTTCCAAGTGGTCAAACAATCAAAGGACCTCTCTACCGAACACAATTGATACGTTTGAAGCGAGCGTTGAAGGAAAAACGGCCAAAATGGGAGACCAGACACGAGTCATTGATTTTACACCATGACAATGCTCGGCCACATATTGAAGCATCGGTCAAAACCTACTTGGAAAATAGCGGATGGGAAATTTTGCCTCACCCGCCTTATAGCCCAGACCTTGCTCCTTCCGACTACCACTTATTTCGATCGATGCAGAACGCCCTTACCGGAATACGCTTCACTTCAGTCGAAGGAATCAAAAATTGGCTTGATTCGTTCCTGGCCTCAAAAGACGAGAAATTTTTTTGGGACGGAATCCATAAATTGCCTGAATTGTGGGGAAAAGTCATAGCTTCCAATGGACAGTACTTTGAATAAATTATATAGTGCAAATTTTTCACAATAAAGCCTCAAAAATTGAAAAAAAAAACGGCGGAAGCAAAGTTATGCACCCAATATAATTTTGCCAAAGAAACATACGAGTGGCGAAGCGTAGCGACTACGCGTACCACTACGTTTAGAGAATTACTAAACGTACTCGTAACGTTTCGCCACTGTGAAAAACTATCGTAAATAAGCTAAGAAAATTAGTAGTTAAAGCTCATTAATTGGTATTATACTGGTACTATAGCGCGGAGAGCAGGGAGAGCGTGGATTAATTGGACTTACTGGATCGCAAGGATTGAAAGGCGAAAAGGGTGACCAAGGAAATGATGGTCTTGTTGGTGTTCAAGGACCTATGGGATTGAAGGGTCACCAAGGGTCACCTGGAATTGGATTGCCCGGCCAAAAAGGAGATAGAGGTAGAATTAATTAAGCATGTTTAATGTGTTTGTAGTTTTTATTTTGAACATTTTCTGATCACTTTATTCATCAACAAACAGGAATTCAAGGCATAAAGGGCGAACAGGTAAGTAGTGGCATACTTTAGAGGATTTTTCACAAAGACCGAAACTGATATCACTCGTCGTAACAACAAGGGCATACAAGGTGTTGATGGTGGTCAAGGTCCTCCAGGAAGACCCGGTGAAAGGGGTGCGCAAGGTCCCCAAGGTGCCGTAGGTAAGTTAAAAATTAAAATCGAATTTACTTTCTGGCTGACCTAAAGATTTGCATCGGAAAACACTAGAAATGGGTTTGGCCAGAAACTTAAATAGCAACCATCGTATTGCAAATTCATAGAATAATTTTTAATCGTTCTGATTTTAAATCCTGAAAAAGGGCCAATCGGGGAACAGGGAATTCAGGGTGCAAGAGGCTTGCCTGGAGAAGTAGGACAACAGGGAGAACGTGGAGAGGTAAAGTCCATTAAAAATGATGATGATGTTTCACAGTTTGATTTTGATTTACTATGTGATAATGTTATTTTATAGCGCGGTATACAAGGACTGCAAGGACTACAAGGGTATGTCAATTAATTCATACTCAGCTATGCTTTTTTATGGATAATTTACAATATATTTTCTTCAGTTTTCCTGGGATTCAAGGACCGCAAGGTAATTTCGGATAACACACTCGGATGTAAATTTACATGAAAATATACTTAATGCAATTGTATTCTTGTTTTTGTTAAATTTAGGTATCAAAGGAGACAAGGGATTGACTGGGGTAAAAGGTGAAGAAGGCAAAGTCGGCAAAGCAGGTCCACCGGGGGAGAGAGGGTAACGTGAACCTACTTCACCATTTTTCTTTTATGCATCGATATTTCACAGCTTGTGAACAGCAACAATAACACTCATTATTTTACTATACAATTGTATTATTATTGAATACGACAATACATACAAATATCATGCACAGTTATGCTTCTAACTCGTAGATCGTAGTGGAATATCGAAATATCGCATGAACTGAATTTGTTATTGAACTATATTAGTATTACTATGGTTATTAATACTTTTATTTAGTTAATATTATACTTGATTTTCGTACCTAACATGAGCTTTTTGAGTAGGCCGCAAGGATTGATCGGGTTGACTGGGCCCAAGGGTCATAAAGGAGATATTGGATTGCCAGGACCACAAGGCATGATCGGCCCAATTGGACGACAAGGCGCACCTGGACAAGCGGTATGAAATAATAATAGTAATAATAACAATAATATGTTTATTATTGATCATTCCATGTAATGGAACAAACACAATTTGAAGCATTACACTTTAACTGATGTGAATATAAATTTATTGAATTCATTTGAACCATTTTTGATATAGGGCCCACCAGGACCACAAGGTAAAATCAACAATTCGATTGTTTCGATAAAAAAATTGACATGTACACGTAAATAATTATAACACTAAATGATCCTGTTTTAATTGTTCAGGTATTCAAGGCGAGATCGGCCTTACTGGTCCCAAAGGAGTTGCAGGAGACATTGGCAGACCTGGTCAAACTGGCCCGCAGGTATATACTGTACATTGTCGTGCTGCGAGCTTTGAAATTCAACAGTTTTGTGTTCAACAAAAGTGGACAAATACATAGAACTTGAAGTATTGATCCAATTTTTTTCTGAATTTTCAGGGCACACCAGGTATATTTTGTGGCATTGAAGTTTGTGAAATGAAAAAATTCATGATATTGAATTTCTGGTCTGCGTCTGTGATTCCTGCGTGCATTAAAAAAATTCATGTAGTTTGCTCTATGAAACACCAATGTACTGAGTGTTTACAGCAATGTTACACTAATGCTAAATAGCACTTCATCTTTCAATTCAAGCTTATATCAATTGTGATTGAAATAATATGCTACCAATGCAGAGAAATTATTAATATAACTTACTGTGGCTTTCAGGTTTCGATGGACAAAAGGGAGAAAAAGGGGAACTAGGTAAATTGCATAAGGTTTTCATTTTTTCAACTACGTTTCTAACTTAGTTTTTAGATCAAGCACTTATTTAACTATTGTTTAACAGGCGCATCAGGTGTAGCCGGAATATCAGGACCAAGAGGAGTGCCAGGTAAATTATTTTATTGTATTTTATCAGCATTCAAATAAAGTATTAAATCGCGGATAAAATACAGCGAAACCTTGCTTATGAAATGTCAAGAGCCATTCTTTTTGATAATCCTCAATGCTTGTACGATTTTTCCGATGATGACTTATGTATATCGTCCGACAAATGGCTTATTAGCTCTAAGTTCTAATCAACTGAATGTTTTTCTTTAATTTTTCACCAATCAAATTATTACAACAAAATAACTTGTTTGAGAAAATGAATGTTTTAAATGTTGTTGATAATTAAAATGGCCAAAAATAGTTTTTAATTCGAGAAATTTTTTGGAAGTATTAAGACTATACAAATATGTTTTTTCATGAATAATAGGGGAGCGAGGACTGCCAGGATTACCTGGGGCGCCGGGAGTTGGAGTTCGTGGAATGCGAGGTTTGAGAGGCGAAACTGGTTTAACAGGAAAACAAGGTAATGACGTGGTTTTCAAAAGACGTCAAACATATTGACATATAAGTGTTTGTTTGAAATATTCCACTCTAATTATTCTCAATACACTGTATAGTTTCATATTACTATTGCTTATCTCAAGATAGATATTACTTTTAAAAAATAGCAAATATGCTTAAAACATAATGAAAGAGTATCTACACACACAATAGTGAGGAGTTAAGTTGTATACTAAAGTGCGAGGGGCAAATCACTCTTTTTGCAATTACTTCCCAAAAGTTGCAATTACTCTTTTTTTCAGCAATTACTTCAAAATTTACAATTACTTTCCATATACAAGTAATTGCAACCGACCAGTAATTGTTGAAAAATGGAGTAATTGCAACTTTTGTGAAGTAATTGCAAAAATAGTGATTTGCCCCTCGCTAAAGTGTCATAACCAATACATTTAAATATAGTTGAAATATACGAATGAGATAGAGTTCATCGCAAAAGCAGATGTCAGCACCAACAAATTCATACAAATGAGATGACATTTATCCCATTTGAATATGTCAACTATATTTGAATGTATTGGTTATGACACTTTAGTATAAATCTTAACTCCTCACTATTGTGTGTGTAGATAAGCTGATAAAAAAAGAGTTTCAAACCTTTTCGTGCTTTTTGACGGATGTAGGGGAAGGTGGGGAAATTCGGAACACACATCGAAATAATTTAATAACATTCTAAAAAATTAACATTTTTCCAAATTCTAAAGTGGTACGACTTAGTAAATGTAAAAACATAACTTTTGGACCTTGCCGCTTGTTGAAATTCGAATCGGTTGAAAAAATGTACCCTGTTGGCAAAGAACCCTTGATTTTGCGATTTTCAAAAATGGTGGGGAAATTCGGAACACTCCATAAATGGATAGAAAACTGAAACAATTTTGATTCAAAACGTTTATGGAGAACTAGGAAAAGGCAGAAGAATTAACTTTAATGGGGAAAAAGTTCAAAAATAGCGATTGTTGTTAGTCGGATTTGTAATTGTTGCCTGTGAAATAGCTACCAATCATTTTGGTGCATTTCAAGTGGCGCATAAATGGCAATGAGTAATTTGTCAAAATTTTGCATGAAATATAATAAATATGCATAAAAAATGCGATATCAACTTGAAAAGTATTAAAAACTAGTGGAACCCTGCCCGCTTCGCTGCGCAAAACAAACAAATAAATAACCCACTATACATGAAACCCATAGAATGAAAAAAAGAACTTCTGAACTCTTTGCCGATAAATGAAACGAAAGCGAGAAAAATGAGAAAAACGTGTTTTCCGCTCAATGGCTACTTGTGTCACTTTTGCTCGCAACTTCATTTGTTTCTTTTTCGCTCTAAGTTTTTTTCGTTTCATTTATCGGCAAAGAGTTCAGAAGTTGTTATTTTGTTCTTAGGCTGTCATATTAAATTTAAATTAAATGATTTTTTAATCAATATTTCTCTTAGTGACTATACAATTCGGTTGTATCGTCTCTGCACGGCAATTTTCAAATTGAGTACGATTTTCCGGAGTAAACGAAATATTTAAAAATTGTCAAGCCCCTAGCCAAATACTTTACTTTCATTGGTTACGCGCCATCCAAGTCAACGACATTGTAAACACACCACAATAGTTGATTGTCAAAACTGTTTGATAACAACACAAACCGGGTGCGTTTATAAACAAATTGGCAAACCATCGGCTTCATTTTTTTTTATTGCAAAAATACAAAAACCAAAAATATTGTGTACCACAAAGCATTGCAGTAAATGTGAGAAAGTGAGAAATATTGATTAATAAATCATTTAAAATTAATATATAGTGGGTTATTTATTTTTTTGTTGTGCACAGCGAAGCAACCATGGCTATTAAATTGAACGTAGTATTTCAATCGTACTCAATTTGAAAATTGCCGTGCGGAGACGATACAACCGAATTATATGCCAACTTTCAAGGTAATTTCGTTGATGTTTTGTTGATTTGCATGTTCAAACGCCTCTGGACGTATCTAAAATATAAAATCCACCGGCTCTCGATTTACGAATAATTACCATACGAAATTTTCGAAAATTCGACTAAAATTCGACATTTTTGTATGGGAGGTACCGGTAAATTAACTCCGATTGGCTTCAAACCTCCTAAACTTTCATTTTTAAAAGAAAAAATAAGATTCTGAAAGTTTAAAACCAATCGGGATCAATATACGGCTACCTCCCATACAAAATTTTCGAGCTATAGAACAAAAAATGCATATAAAATTTTTCATCAACACATATACAACATAGTACATACGTATAAACCTTCCTTATGAGGTCCCAAAAACATCTCAAAAGAGTATAACACAATACCTCCAACCAGTAACTCAAACACTTCGAACATACATTAACCTCTACGTTTTTTTATACATAGATCACTTGATCAATTTTTCGTATATAGGGCGTTCCGAAATTCCCCACTCCCTAAGGCTTACAACATAATCGTGTTTCAGTCACTCAATGAATTTTTATGCAAAATTTCTTTTGTGAGTCGAAATATTAATGGTATACGATAATTATAAACATATTCATCAGAGTTGATTCATCCATCATTTTTCTGACTTTGTGACGTGGTATCCAAACAAATTCATGGATTCTATCATGAATTTGGATGGATCGCTCGTCACAAAAACGGAATGTCAGCGGAGCGTTCTATATGCTTTCACCGCACGCAAATTATCTAGATGACGAGCGTCAGCCGTAGCTGACCATCTATTGCGTTTGGTTGGCTGGTTCCGATTACCCCACATTCCCTTACTAAATTGAATGTTTTCTATGTCGCCATCTGGTTGGTGATACTAATATCTTCTCGCATGGTTCTGAGGAAGATTTTATTTATTGTTTATCCAATTTTATACAAAATCGCTTTTTCATTCATAAATCCAATTTAGAAAAGAAAATCGCAGTTATTTCGACTTTCTGCATGCAAAATGCCTAGAACATAAGAGTGGAAAAATTGTCATCATCAAGTTTAAAACACGGCACGACCAATTTCAAGTGTTGCAACTTGGTTTTGAAAGAAGTCGAATATTATCTGAAACAAAAACACTAGTACAAATAATTTTTTTGTCTCTTTGTTTGATATCAACCCACATTTTCGATAGAAAGTGAATTTTTTTCCATACAACTCATAATTGTAATACACAATCATGTGTTTAGTACATTTCATCAATGTTATGATTTTAAACTTGAATGCCGTGTTAGTTTTCTGAAATAAAAATTAAAAAATAAAATATTGACTGTTTTTGAATGTTTGCTATGAATGTCATTTTCAGAGCGTAAAGTTTGGCAGATACCATTGCCGACGTTAGAAGGGTGCGTTCAGTGTCGGTATTGAGCAACGAAATGTACTAAACACGTGATTATGTATTACAATTGAACCGTTGCGACAAACAAATTCCCTCAGAATATTTTGGTTCCAAAGTGCAACATGAATTTTTTTTTATATTGAGTTTACAACAACAACTCCTTATGAAAAAAAACTTTATGTTGCACTTTAAAACTAAAATATTCTAAGGGAATTTGTTTATCGCAATGGTTCAATATCGTGCCGTGTTTTAAACTTGATGATGACAATTTTTCTACTCTTATATTCTAGGCATTTTGCATGCAAATAGAGGTGTCAACGGACAAAATTTTGTCCGTCCGTCCGTCCGAACATTTCTTGAAAAAATTCGGACGTCCGGTCCGAATGTCCGAAAACCGAAATTTTTTTTCGGATGTCCGGTCCGAATGTCCGAAAACCAAAAATTTTTTTCGGACGTCCGGTCCGAATGTCCGAATTTTTTTTCGGACGGACGGACGGACGGACAAGGGGTTTGTCCGAACTTTTCAAATTTTTTCGGACGTCCGTAAAATTTCCGGACGTCCGAAAAAAATTCAAAGCCAAAAAAAATATTCGAGCCAAAAAAAAATTCAAAAGAAAATTTTCTCGGCTCCAATGATTTCTTTCTAATCCCACAATTGATCCATTGCGACAAACAAATTCCCTCAGAATATTTTAGTTTCAAAGTGCAACAACCAACGTAAAAACGTTTACCAAAAAGTGTAAACCAACTAATATACAAACTAATATATTTTCTTTTGAATTTTTTTTTGGCTCGAATATTTTTTTTGGCTTTGAATTTTTTTCGGACGTCCGTAAAATTTTCGGACGTCCGAAAAAATTTGAAAAGTTCGGACAAACCCCTTGTCCGTCCGTCCGTCCGAAAAAAAATTCGGACATTCGGACCGGACGTCCGAAATTTTTTTTTGGTTTTCGGACATTCGGACCGGACGTCCGAAAAAAAAATTCGGTTTTCGGACATTCGGACCGGACGTCCGAATTTTTTTTTCGGTTTTCGGACGGACGGACACTATTGTCCGAATTTTTGTCCGTGTCCGTTGACACCTCTACATGCAAAAAAGACTGTGATTTTCTTTTCTAAATTGGGTTTATGAATGCGAAAGTGATTTTGTATAAAATTGGATAAACAATAAATAAAATCTTTATCAGAACCGTGCGAGAAGATATTAGTATCACCAACCAGAGGAAACATTCAATTTAGGACATAGGTCAAAAAGCACGATTCGTTGCTCTAGCAAGTATGAAACTCCTTCATTTTCGTAAAATGAGCCATTCAAACGCAATAATGATTTTAATTTTTTTTATTTCGATCCGTTTGCGCAGGTGAAATAGGTCCAATGGGTCAAGTTGGTTTGCAGGTAAACTGTTTGATAATAATTAATGAGTAGGTGTTTTGTTCGGGTTCAAGTTGTTCGAAGCGACAAAATATGTGTTCGTTCAGGTTCATGTAGTTTCCTCGAAAATGTTTAAGTTCAATTCATATTCATTCGAAACTGTTTGATTGCACGGTCACGGTTGTAGTTTCGACCAAATAGAACTTTCACTTTAAAAATGCACGTTCATCGTCTGTGAATGACGCGTGTGTTACGTGTTGGTTTTGAATAAATCTAGAATTATTTGCATAACATTTAATAAACATACAGATTTACATTTTGCAGCAACACATTATTATTATAACGGACGCTTAAAGTAATATTAATAGCATTACAATTGTAACGTTAGATTTTAACGTCACCAGTAATGGTTACTAGTATGGTACTAACCATCACCGGTACAAAAAATAAAGACCGTCTACAGACGGTCTTGCCGATTAGAGGGTTAATGTCACCTTGTGTCACACAAAAGTCAAAATCGATTGTTCTAATATTTTAAGTTGTTTTTTTCATTAGCAAACTATTTTTTGTCTAGGGTCAACCAGGTCCTCAAGGTCCGATTGGCGAACCAGGCCCAGAAGGTCCCATCGGTCGGTATTATATTTCAATCTTTACCACCGTGTTTTTTTCTTTTTGACAACTATTTGAACGTTCTTTATAGGAAAAACTGGAGAAAAGGGTAAACAAGGAGAAAAAGGTACGATTACCTAATTTTGTGTAAGCTCGCTTTTCTATTTTCTGAAAGGGATTTCCAACCCAACGCCGATATTAATCGGAATGAATTATCACAACATATTGTCGTCATTAGTGTTGGCCGTCAAACACTTTCGAACGCTTGTTCGACCGTTCGAAAACATGAAAAAATTGTTTTGTTCGTTCGTTCGTTCGAAAATTATGGCTTGTTCGACCGTTCGGTTTTTTTTACATTTAAAATACTACGTTTAAGCAAAATTTATTTTGAATTCTTTGGGCAAGACTTTTTTGGCGATTTTTCGCAATTTCCTGGGTTTTTCACGAAACTGATATAAACTGATGTAAACAATAGTCATCTTCAGCAAGTTATAGGAGATATTCAGTGCTACACGGAATACTGTACAATTTTTATTTTTTCTGTTTAAATTGCATTCAAATATACAAAGGACATTATAATGTAAGTAGTTAGAGTTGAAAGTTAACAGAATAATGACGGTTTTTTCATGAAATTGGAGCTGGGTTGGACGTCCCCTCAAACAATAGAAAGGCCATAGGGGATGCATAATTACATACACACAGAGAAAACACAGTAAGATCAATCAGAATAGGATTTATATGACAAATCATGTAAAACGATAAAATATCGTGTAATTTGAAATATTTCAAAAATGACGCGTACATTTGACAGATTCGTACATCGGGTAGTTAGTAAAGGTTTATTGATTTGGGACAAACGGACATTTGTCCCAATGTCCCATTTCAAATTAGGACAAAAAAAAATTTTATTTTTATTTTTTTATTTTTTTTATTGATTTATAATGGTGTTGAAAACAGGAAAAATCCCAATAACATTCTTCACCTAAAAATGTCCGTTTGTCCTAATTTGAAATGGGACATTAGGACAAATGTCCGTTTGTCCCAAATCAATAAAAGGACGGACGCCGTCCGTCGGACGGACGAACAAATTTTGTCCCTTTGCCACCTTTAGGGTAGTATCATTGACCAATTCATTGTTTTATTTGAAATCACACGATATCTTATCGTTTTACACGATTTTTCATATAAATCCTATTCTGCTGGATCTTACTGTGTAGTTTTTCATATTTTTTTTCTCTGTGTATGCATAATTATACACATGTTTTTACAACAAGAAGATTAATGAACTATTGTGTTTATTTCATTTGAACAGGAGTTCAAGGTCCAATCGGAAATCCAGGGCCAACAGGTATGTTTAATGTTATGATGCTGCGAACTTGGAAATTCTTCAGTTTCAACAAGTGGCAGAAATATAGAACATGAAGTATTGATCTACTTTTTTTTCTTTAAACTTTCAGGTCCACCTGGTTTGCAGGTTCAGATTTGATACATATTTTTTACATTGAAATGATAAATGTAAATACATGTGTTTCTTCGTTGTTCTATAATTCATGAATATAGGGATTGCCAGGTTTGCAAGGTCTAGTTGGAGTTTCTGGCGAACGCGGAGAAAAGGGCGAACAAGGCGAACAAGGTAGCATCGGTATGAGAGGAAAACCAGGACCATTGGGTCCAAGTGGTCCTAAAGGGTGAGTTTAAGTCGACATGAATTTTATTTTTTATCCAGACATAACTTTCATGGTAAACAAACAAATTATTTCGAGGCAGAGATCGTGGTGAGCCTGGACCGGAAGGTCATAAGGGCCACACTGGATTGCAAGGGATGCCAGGAGCACCAGGTGATTTTCATTATCTTCAAGAAATATATCTGCTTCTATATCTTTAAATTTATTTTCTCGTTTTATTTCCCCAGGATCTCGTGGAGAGAAGGGCGAAAAGGGCCAAGGCGAACAAGGACCAATGGGAAGAACTGGTAAAATGTTCATACAATTTGTACCCATCAAAACCATAACTAATCAAATGTGAATTCAATTTCAATTTAAACAACGTAGGTGAACCTGGCCCACGCGGTGCACCAGGTAAGGAGCATTTCAACTCAAATAGGTGAATACCGATGCCGATGATACATTTCTTCTTATTTTCATTTGCAAATCTAGGTCATTCAGGCCAACAAGGCTTAACAGGACCTATGGGTCCGCCTGGTCCCCCTTGCTCCGATGGTAAACCCGGAGCTCAAGGTAAAGAAAATAATCGATTAGAGGTTAATATTTCAAATATAGTTCAATATTATCATGAACATCCCAACGAGAGTTGTGCGACAACTTTTACGCAAATGTATCGCTAACCTTCCGCAAAAGTTGTCACAAAATGCATGAACTGCGATCAACTTCATTCGAATTCAGCTCTACATACAGCGCCACCATACGGAATGTTGGATACAATTTGAATTTATAGGTTTACAAAGAGCGATATGTCGCAGACATGTTGGCGTAATTTTGCGTAAACCTGTACATTGAAAATCCCATCGCAATGCGGAATGTCGCGGGAAGGTTTTGCATTGCGGGGACATGTCGACATAAACCTCAATGTATCGCAAATTTCCAGTAGGGCATATATCTCATTAAATTATGTTTTGTTGAAATCTTGCTGTTTTAATAACTTCTGGGAAATGCCCAACATATGTTGTTTCTATATAGAAAACATATTGGCAGTTGTTATTATGTTTTTAATTATTAATGATAACATGTTATCATGTCTCTGAAAGGTATACAAGGTCCGCCAGGGCCTCCAGGTCCTCCGGGTGAAAGTCAAGGATACGACACAGCATTGCTGGCAGCATTGACCAGCCAAATGTCATCGATAAATAACAACAAAGGACCAAGCAGCGGTGACATCCAAGAGGATAGCCCAACCGGCAATCATCATCGTCAACTAACATTGGAAGAACAACGAAATCTACTCAAAAAAGCCTACGAACAGTTGAAGCGCAATTTGGATAACTTGAACAAGCCCACCGGTCAAAAAGACTCTCCAGCTAGAACATGCAAAGAGCTTGTACTGGCCCAACCACAGCTGCCTTCCGGTGATTATTGGATCGATCCGAATGAGGGCGATAAAAAAGATGCAATTTTGGTGCACTGCGACATGCCAACGAAAACAACATGCGTTCGTTCTCAACCACAGCGCAGCAACAACATTGAGTACGTTGGCGATGAAAGAGAGATTTGGCTGAGCGAAGTTCATAATGGCATGAAACTCACCTACAAAGCCGAAAGCAACCAAATCACACATTTACAAATGCTATCGACTCACGCCTCGCAAAACCTCACTTATCATTGCAAGAATTCGGTCGGCTATTTCGATGCCGAGAAAAACAACTACCATAAATCGTTGAAATTGTTGGCCTGGAACGATGCTGAATTGACGGCGAAAAATTCACAACAATTACGCTACGAAGTAACCGAAGATGGATGCAAGGTAAAAAAATAGCAGCAAATATCATGATTTTATTCTTATATACCTACTACTATTATTAACTTTTACTAGACACGATCGCACAATTGGTCAAAGACGGTGATTAGCTACAAAACTGAGAAACCATCCAGATTGCCAATTGCAGATGTGGCTGTTCGAGATATCGGTATTGCTGGTCAACAATTTGCCGTGGAAATTAGCCAAGTCTGTTTCCAAACACAAGACTATGACGATCAATAGAATTACTAGCTAACAAATTGTATTTCAATTTATATGTAAATAATCTCAACACTGCTGCTGCACTCTTCGGAGGCAATACACTTTAAGCGACAACATCTCAGAATGTTATTGTTGAAGCACGGGAAGATCGAATACATGTTTCCAAAATTCTATTCGATTTTAACAAACACAAATTATTGGATAATGTATCTGTCATTCAGAGTGCACGATATAAATAAAATCAATTAATTTTTCACTCAAGTTTCGATTCGACTTCATCACCATATAATGAACTACTTACTACCTACTACCATGAGAAATAATATTGCCATAACAAAAAATAATCTAATATTTTGTGTGGTATGTAATAATATCGATACGTCTCTACGAAATCAAAAGCAAAATCCAAATCATATTAAAGTACACGGTGAGTGAAGAACGCAGAACATTTCCCATATTTCCTTGCGCCCTGGCTGTTGATGTTGCATTCATTGCAACAGCAATTGCGTCATTGATTTTCCTTAGAAATGGAAAGGTGGTGTCGTTTCTTCTTGGAATATTGAACGCCATCAAGTCACACCTGTGTCTCCAATTATGTTTTTGTCATCAATTTCACATTTCCCCCTGTGATAGTAATCCATATCTATTGTGATGACTGCAGCTCCAGCTAGATTTGGCCTCTTCACCATTACAAATCAGATGCGGTTTATAATTGAAAGACCATCTCCGAATACAAAAATTTGCTTTTCCCCTTCGTTGCCATACCGTGATTTGGTACTAGACAAAATCATGAAAATAAATAAATTCATAAATGGTTCAAGAAAATTTCACGCCAGAATTATTCAATTAGTTGAATTGAGTCCCTTGTTTGTTGAACTGGTACATGACCGCTAAATTTGGGTGGGCATGCGTGGTGGGGCTCCCCTGGAGGTATAGCTGTGCTCACGATTTTTTTTTATCAAGATATCGTAATAAACTAAAAATATCGTTCGATATCGTTATTATGATGGAATCTTAATAACGCTATCAACTTTTTATCAGGATATTAACTATATTCAAATAATAACGTTATCGGATGAATCTTAATAATATCGTTGGGAAGTTATCAAGATCGAATCCTGATAATTTATC